AATCTCGGTCACTGAGCAAAAAAGTTGTTAATAAGATGGCGTATGACCACATAAAGCCTGAGTGGCGTAGGAGGCTAATGCCTCCTACTAAGGCAGCATTTAACATCCAGCTGCCTTCAATTACTGCAAGTTCAATTCTCACCAGGCTCAAGGTTGACTCAGCCTTCCATCCTTTCTAAGGTGAGTAAAATGAGGACCCGGTTTGTGGGGGCAATAAGCTGACTTTGTATAAAATATACAAAAGTATGAAGGCTATTGCTTAACGCATTGTAAGCCGCCCTGAGTCTCCGGAGAAGGGCGGCATATAAAAATAAATAAATAAATAAATTTCCCTCAATGATTACAAACCAGCTCTGCCATTTGTGGTCATTAAGCAGACTTCTAGGAAAAGGGCCTGGTCTTTGGGGTATGGTGGAGTCAGGAAAGGGCCCCAATGTTTCACCACACCTGGGAAGCCAGGGTCCTCTCCTCATCCCCACGGGGGAAAGTTCAGATCCTGATGTTCACTTAAAGTGTTCTCCTCTGGAGGAACAGAAACACTATTGAACACTATCATTCTGAAAGGCTCAGAACAATGGCATTTGTTACTGTGTTTGTTCCAAGACTTTCAAAATGATGCCATTTGCTACTATTTTAAGAAACGCCATTGTTTGTGCTTGTGCACAATAGGGAGCACTAGAGAATTAGCATTCTGAAGCTTCCAGAATAATATTTTTTGCCATATGAGTGCCTCTAGAGTGGGGGAAGATTTTCCTTCCCTGCATGAGGTGGAGGGAAATCTGTCAATGTGTTGGGGAAATTGACCTCAAATCCAACTTTTCTGAATGTCTGAAGTGTATTTTTATAGACTACTACAGACTGTTGATAAGTCGTCTTCTCCCATTAAGCAATAAATAAATGATTGAATGTCCTCCATTTACTAATCATACTCATCATCTGCTGATGACATTAGGATGTCATATCAATATATTATGGGGGCTGCATGAAGACATGAACATTTCCCTGAATGGCACAAACAACATTATTATGACATTGTCCATGAGTCATATGAACATTCTGATATCTTTAGGGGGTGTTTTCTTTTTCTTATGACATTTTAAAAAGGTGTTCTGGATTACCATGATAAGGGGGAGGGGGAAGATTCTTACCGATGAAAGATCTGACTCTTAGATTTAGAAAGGATTCCAAATAATATTTTAAATTTCTCACTAAAGAAGATGGAAAATACCTTGACTACGATCCTCTATGATCCTCTTTGATTATTCCTCCTTGGATAGTATTAAAGGATAGGAGATCTGAAACTCAGATCCTCCTTTGGCTGGGAATGGGGGCTATATAGAATGGAATTTGGGGATGGACATTGCGTAGAAGAAGAAAGCAGAGAAGACAGGAATGCCAGAATATGGCTTCACCATGAATATTATTGACTAAAGAGTTATCTGGGTTTGCTCCACATACTTGCTATCCATAAATCATGTTTTACAAAATATAGTAGTTAAGGTATATGTTGCACTAAGTCAAAATTAAGCAAACCACAATAAAGTAATATGTAAATCCATCCATGGATTTTTCATGGGCCCATGGAATACCAGTGTTCATTTTTAATAACTCTGATGAATGGAGAGAATCTTTTCACATTTCATTTTTTTTCAGGACCAAGTAAGAGTTTTGTTTTGTTTAAAAGTAAATTAGTGGAATACATTGCTGTTACCTAACTGTGTGGGTGGAAGTGAACATCTGTCTTTAATTGAATAAAGCTTGCAGTGTTAACTGGTTGTGCAGAATACAGAATTACTAAGGGGAAAATGATACTCCAGAGCAATGTATGTTTCTGTAAGCGAACTTGCTGAAAAAAATACCTGGAAGTCTTCAAAAATAGTCTTCATGATTGCATTAAATCTGTCATTCAAGCTAGTAGTTCGTTTTTGCCGAAAGAGACTTTCATTTTGATTGTGATAAACAAGAAAGTGCATACCTTTACATATAGATGATAACAAGTCATGGGTGTCTTCATTTCAGATTCTGTTTGTCCGCCTCACATAAACGTATTCCTCTTTAAGCTAAAATAAAATCCCACTCCTTTGAGGAAAAGATTTATTACAATTTTTAATATGGAAAAATATTTTGTGTAGAACTCTTGGTATTTTTTTTTATTTTCTTAAACAATTTTATATGGTTGTGCTCTTCACAAAAGTGACTCTATGCAGTGCACAAGTGTTGAAAAAGAACAATTTGACAACAGTTATAGAACCCAGGTCTCAAACACAAATCCACTTGATAAAAAAGAGTATTAATCAGCAGAGCGTGCCATTCCTACAAATATCTGGGAGAAAGCCCAAGTCTTCGATGTCTTTTGAGACGCTAACAGGCTGAGACCGTCCAGATATCTGGAGGGATGCTGTTCCATAGGACAGGTAACTGCTGTAGAGAAGGACTGACTGAGATGCAAAAAATTGACTGTTTAATGAAAGGAACCAGGTACATGTCCTCCCTGTTAAATCTGATGGGATGAGCAATGGGAGAAATGGGAGCAGAGACAATGGGAGATCCTGTAAATATCACAAGCACATCTATAGTCTGAAGTAGCACAGTCCAATCGCTGCTAAGTACTTCTATGAAATGCCAGATGGATAGGTATGTAATTACAAGTAGTCTTCGACTTACACCCATCTGTTTAGTGATTGTTCAAAGTCATAATGGCACTTACGACGCTTGCAGCATCCCCAAACGATCACGTGATCAAAATTTGGATGCTTGGCAACTGGCGTGTTTTATGACAGTTACAGTGTCCCAGGGGTCATGTGACCTTTTGCCATCTTCTGACAAGCGATGTCAAGGAGGAAGCCAGATTCACTTAACCGTGTTACTAATTTAATAATTGCAGTGATTCACTTAGCAACTGTGGCAAGAAAAGTCATAAAATGGAGCAAAACTGACTTAACAACTGTCTTGCTTAGCAGTGGAAATTTTGGGCTCAATTGTGGTTGTAAGTTGGAGGACTACCTATATTTGATTGTGATGTGGCATATGTTACATTTGTAAATTTAGAGCTCAGGGTAGCAGGGTTTTGAATTGTTATCCACCACTAAATCCCAATCGCTTCATGTTGTCCGTGTGTCTTTGATTCAGTTTTTAGCTCCTCCTGACTGCCTGAATTAGTCACTACATTTTTCTTCGCAAGGGTTTTAGGAAGTGGTTTGCCCTTGCCTTCTTCCTAAGGCTGGGAGAGAGACAGTGTCAAACCCTGGGTGGCCTGTGGGGTTCTGGCCACACAGTGATGGCTGTGTTGGAGAGATCAGCTGTTTGGAGGGCCTGCGGACCGACCGACAAGTGTCTAATTGAGTCTCCTGACAATCAGCCAATTGGGCCTGACAGAGGGCCGGTTGCTGCAGCGGCGGGAGGGCGTGACTCTAGTATTTAAAAGGTGCTGGGAGGCAGACGCTCCCAGTGCTGACTTTATTCCTGTATGCTTTTTTCCCTTTTCCAAGCTATTTGCTTGGAACTCATCGTGTGCCGAGAGTTTGGCTAATTAAATCCTTCGGAACTCAAAATGCGTGGTATCTTGATGCTGGTTTAGGTCCGGAGCTCGGACCATTGAGAGAGAGATTGGCCCAAGATCACCAAGGTCACTTTGTGCTTAAGGCAGAACTATAACTTACGGTCTCCTGGTTTCTTCTTTGGTGCCTTAACCACTACACAAAATAGGGTCCCTTTGCCTGGACTAGTCCTTATATTTTTCTCAACAAGATTTTTGGGAAGTGATTTGTCCTTGCTTCCTTCCTAAGACTGAGAGAGTGGGATACTGGTCCAGGATCATCCTGTTTAAGGCTGGACTAAAACTCACAGTCTCCCAGTTTCTAGCCAAGTGCCTTAACCACTGTACTGAATGGACTCTCTCCCCATGTATTCCTATACAACTATTTGTAATAATAAGAAAAAACATTGATTCTTATTGTGTTTTGCCAAAAAGTGTTTTGCAAAAAAGGAATCTATTTGTGCTCAGAATCCATTGTTATTCTACTCATTCCTAAATATGTAATTATTTAGTTCATGGTGGCTGAGTAATCAACACAGGATATGTTATCTAGCATTTTATGGGGTCAATTCAAGTTCCTATAGCATTTTCACAAACCTCCTTGAAAATTATTACAGAATTAACTGTCTGTTTGCAAAATCGAAGAAGCTTATTCAGCTGCAATGCAGAGCAAGTGTGCAAGTGTTTTGAGTATGTAAAGATAAGAACATTTTCGCATTAATATTGCATTTATTGTGGAATTAAAACCGGACAGCCAATCTTCAATACCAGACGATGACAGTTCATGATCCTTTTTTAAAAAGTTATTCCTTTTCTGTAAACTAATGAGCAGATCAATCAACATATATTAAGGACTTTCAAGCTATTTATGTCAGGGAATATTTCTCTTTTTCACTCACAAAGCTACGAATTGGCAAACTCATAAATCAGAGGAACAGCAGTAGACACTGGTGCTAACCAAATTAGGAACTGAGTGATTCCACAGTGGGGGGAAAAAAGTAGTAATGAAAATAAACAGGATTGTGTTACGTAAAATAGGGTCACATCAATAACCAAATGAAAGCATAATAGCAAGCTAGATTGTCAGAGTGCATTTGAAATGGAGCATAAAAATGACATTGCTGCAAGACAAACATGATCAAATGTAAAGTAATAATTTGTGCCTTATGGCCAAATGTGCGGTCTTTTCAAGAAATACAGTTGCAATTGTATTGATGGGTTTATCCCTAAAGGCCCAAGCATTGCTACATTTGATATAGCAAATGAAGCTTACACAGTCTGCTGTTACTGGTTACTGGAGGAGCAGAGGGAGGATGCAATATGTATTAAATTGTTGCTCTATTACATTATAAAACTGACAGGATTGTTTCAACAAATGAGTAAATGCAATAGAAAACAGTTATGGTCATGACTTCTTCCAAATACAAATATATATGTGTATTTGTATGTGTGTTTATATCTACAGAGTTTGTGCTTGCAGATCTTGGAAATTTGCTCCAGATTACTGCGGTTTTCAAAGCAAGTCTCCGACTCAGGGTGGGTTCTACTTATCTTTACTACTGGTTCGCATGCACAGATCACTTACGATGACGTCAGGGTCGGTGGGCAGAGCCTCCCGCCGGTTTTACTACTGGTTCTTGTGAACCGGTCCAAACCGGGGGCAACTCTTCACTGCTCCAACTCTTGGCTGTTAATCCTCCCCCTTTTTTATCTTTTGTTGAAGCATTTTTTTCATATCCTTCATTAGTCATATTCCTTGACTGGTGTGCATCACTTTCCCCACCCATTTTCTCCTTTGGCACGACAGCAGCAAGTTTGGGGTATAAAATAGATGTACTCTAAGAATAAACAAGTTTTCATGTCGTGCACCATCTCCATATTGGAAGTAGCAAGTGCTTTCACTATTGGAAGAACAAGCAATTGGTTTTATGTCAAAATTTGGTTGTTCCCGCAGAGTCCCTCTTTGAGGGAGATGGGAGGGTTTTAGAAATGTGAAATATAAACAAACAAACAAACAAACAAATCTCAAGAAGGATGCACCATAGACAGGGATTTAAACATTTCATTTATAGAGCCACAATGAGGCATAACATTCCAAAACCAGGCGATTTTAAAAATCTTTTATCAATATTTATTTTAACAAATGTTTAGCATACCATTGATGGTTTTATTTTTAGATTTATGCTATAAGGGAGACGACATAAAGAAATCAAACTAGGGGTCCTATTTAAATATTCATTTATGTATTTATTTCAATCAAATTCTGTGGTTTTTTTGTAATTGGATTTTACCTAAAAATCCAAGGTGGCTGAGAAAGTGCAAAACTATTTCCTGAATGCCCTCAATCCAGTATCTAAAATTCTGGGAAGTTCTTTATATCAATTCAAGATCAAGAATGAGCTGTAATGAATGAGCAGGGGGGGAAAAGCATACTGTAATATGCTCTCCAATTGTTGGATCAGAAGGCTTATGTAATAAGGTATCTTGGTTTGGAGAATCTTTACTCCAGAGGCTTTGAATGAACTAAGCTTTGAAGTTAGAATAAATAAAAATGCTGAATTCAGCGTGTGAAAATTAAAAAAAACCCCTTTCTTTACATATTACTTGATCTTTTGCAAATCAAGTAATTGAATATTATTAATAATATATCTTTAGTCACTGGGTTAGAATGTAAAAGATATTGAAGGAAAAAAGAGTTCTCTGGAGAAATGTTAAACCAGTTAGTAATAACCAGTAGCTGTAAAATTGGTACAAAGATTTGTAGATAATTAGCTAAGAGAATGATAAGACCATATGGCCAGGCATTATGTGGTGCTTTTTTTGTGGAAAAACAAAAGCGACAGAGCAGGCTTTCCCCCCTAATTAATTTGTGTTATCCTTTGATTTATGCAATGTGTTCCATACTAAACTGAAATGTAATTTGTAAATTAATGTAAATATATCAACAGTGTTGGATTATCTTAGACAGTGTTTATATTGCCAGATGGAAAAGCTGGTGGGAGACTATTCTTTATCTAATTGCAGGCAGCAGAAGACCTACTTGCATTCCATTTTAGTCTGTTTTTGGCATTGTGCTTTTATTTTCTGTTTTTGCAGTGACCTTAATTGATTTATTGAGACAACAGTTTCAAGAATTAATATTCATATGACAAAGTCTAAAGTGCTTTCAATGAATGGATTCTATGCCCAGCAGAATAGAATCTATTTTTCCATGAAAAATTGCATACACATTAATGAAATAAGCATATAGGTTTTTTTTGAAAGAACAGTATTCTAGAAGGAAGAGTATATTTAAAGAATCTGCTCTATCTTTTTATCCTTGCATGAAGAAGGGTGGGGGGAGGTTTAGTTAATTAGGAAATAAGGCATTACATTCAATTTAAATATCCTTCTCTCAATCTCTCTCTCCCTCTCTCTCTCATTTTAGAAATTGTTTCAGAAAGTTTTTCTTAATTTTTGTTAAATTAAATTTTGTTGAATCTAATTCTGAATATCTTTTTTTCCCTTGAACTTCTTGCCATAATAGTTTAGGTCAGGGGTGTCAAACTGGATTTCTTCGAGGGCTGGATCAGCATTGTAGTTCTCCTCCACAGGCCAGCAGGGCAGAGTGGGGGGAGATGGGACGGACATCACCTGTAGCACTCTGCCGGCCAAAATGGGGCATGGGGGGGTGCAGCCCCCTCTGCCCCATTTTTGGCCTGAATGGTCTCCTGCAGCACTTTAGTGGCCAACCCCCCCCAGCTTGTTTTCGGCCTCCCTGGCCTTCAGCAGCACTATGCCAGCCAAAAACAGGCTACGTGGAGCCTCCCGAGGCCCCTGCATGGTCCATTTTTGGCCTCCTTGGTCTCCAGCAACACTCTGCTGTAGGCCTCTGTGTCCCTTCAACCTGTTTTTGGGTGGCAGAATGCTGCTGGGGATTTTAAGCACCTCACAAGCTGGATCCAGCCCTCGCACCTTGAGTTTGACACCCCTGGTTTAGGTGATAGGAAAGTACTTTTCTGGAGCAATTAAAGCATTACACACGGAGATTGTATATACATTTCTACAGGTGTGGTTTAATTAGAGAAAAATGAATTAATAATTCTGTATGTGTATATATAGTCAGTATATTAATATCTGTTTATAAATCCCCTCCCTTACAGAATATTATCCAAAGAAAGAACATATTACTAGTGTTAATTATATTTTTGGATAAGGTATTTTTCTTTCTTATTAAATGGTGATGAACTTTCAGGTTAAATGGCTCCAGGTTAGTTTTCTGATATTCGGATGTTTCACCCACAACTGTGACCAGCATCTTCAGAAGTGAAGTGACCCTCTGAGTAATATAATTCTCAGCTGTTCTGTTCTGGCTCTTTCATTTGAACTAATTGGATCGTTTTGAGGCAGTCAGTGAAAGATGGTTGGTCCTGATTGGCAAGCACATTAAATTATTCATGTTAATATGATAATCATATTAATATTAATTATAATATTACATATGACTGCATAGAGAAGCCATTGAGATTCATCAACTTTCTAACAGCTTTAACAAGGAAGAGAGTCTGAAGGTTAACAAAGCCTAGATCCTAGATACTATTAACAAACAGACCTTAATTAATCACCAAGAAAGGAAATTTACAGCAGTCTCGCTTGGAGAAACACTTAGCAACCATCTATTTCAAAGACAAGCTAAACAGGAAATAGCTTATTTTAAAATCAGGACCAAATATCTTTCTCTGACTCCCATGATACAATCCAGTGAGATCAAACAACAATCGGAGCAACAGAGAATTATGCTACTGAGTGATTCATTCCTCCTCTGAAGAGGCAGTCCAAATACTCATTATCAGTTAATTGACTCTGGCCATGAAAGTCTACAACCAATGTAACTCTAGCATTTAATAAAGCAATAGCTTTATTTCTTGGGAGAAAATTGCAAATCATAAACCACATTCTTGATAGTGTTATGCTGATCAGTAACCAAAATATAGAAATAAGGAATGTACCGTATATACTCGAGTATAAGCCAACCCGAATATAAGCCGAGGCACCTAAGTTTACCAGAAAAAACTAGGAAAACTTATTGACTCGAGTATAAGCCTAGGGTGGGAAATGCAGCAGCTACTGGTAAATTTCAAAATAAAAATAGATACCAATAAAATTACATTAATTGAGGCATCAGTAGGTTAAATGTTTTTGAATATTTATTTCAAAGAAAAACAGTAAACAGCTCTGTAAGTGCATAGTGTAAACTACATTATAACTAAATTACACAAAAAAATGTAGTATATACCGGTATACCAAAAATAATTCAATAACAATTTAATCTGATACATAGCCTTAAGCCTTAACCCTACATCAGTAGGGCTTGATCTAATTTCAGGAAGTTCAAGCCTCTGTTAAGAGATACCTGCATTCTCTCTCTCTCTCTCTCCCTTCCTTTTTCTTTTTCTCTCTTTCTTTCTTTGTCTCTTTCTTTCTTTCTTTCTCCCTCCCTTTCTCCTTTCTCCCTTTCTGTGAAGAATCCCAGAAGGTCTTTGGTAGGAGGAAGAAAAGCCAGACATTTTGAAACGTTTTGTAGCTTACCCTGAGCAAGGATAGCTTTCTCCTTCTCATCTGGCATTCTTAGAGCTCCACTATTGATTAGCTTAGCCTGAGCAAGGATAGCTAGCAGCCAGCCTATTACAATAAGATCTCAACTCAAGCTCAGTGCACGTGGGGGATCTCCCCAAACAGTGAGGATTTCTTCGTTTCTTTCTCCCTTGAAGCCCCCCCCCAGCCCGTTTTTGCTTCCAGGGGGCTGCAGGGAGTCTTGCTAGACAACCCCCCACGCCCCATTTTGACCTTAGCAAGCCTCCCTGCAGCCCCTGGAAGCCAAAACGGGTTGCAGGAAAAAAGGCATTTTTTCCTCACTCGAGTATAAGCCGAGGGGGGCTTTTTTCAGCATAAAAAATGTGCTGAAAAACTCGGTTTATACTCGAGTATATACGGTATACAGTTGATGTAGATTCAGACTACATGTTCTTTTTAGATCCTAGATCTGATGACTGCACTGCTTTAAAAAAAGATTGTGGCCCTCGTACGCTCTTTTTATACTCCAGCAGCACTGCCCACTTCTCACAGAATCACAGAGTTGGAAGGGTCATCTTATCTAAACTGATGCTAAGCACAGCATCCACTTAAGATGACTCTTTAGCCTCAGTTGGAATACTTCCATTGAAGATGAACTCAATACTTTTATGCGGCAGTCACTGCTTGACAGCACTTATAGTCAGGATGTTCCTCCCAATGTCTAGCCTGAACTTTCTTCCTTATAATACTACAACAAACTCTAATTCTGCTGTCTGAGGCAATAAAGAATAAGTCCTCTTCTGTATGACATCAGATGTTTGAATACTTTGTCTCTCGGCTGACTCTTCTTCAGGTGAAGAATGTTGAGATCCTTTAATTGTTCTTCAAAAGGCTAGATATCTAGACTTCAGATCATCCTGATAGCATTTCTCTAAATTTACTCCAATGTGTCACGGTCTTCTTTGATCTAGGCTGATCTAGAT